CGCCTGCCCAGGCGGGTCTCGAACCCGCGGGTTCAGGCAGTCCACTCACCTCAGCCTCCCAAAGACGCGGGGTTACAGGCCGAGTCAGCGAGCCTGGCACCACAGCACTTTCTACAGGCTTGGAGGGGGATGCTAAAGGGGTCTTCCCACAGGGATAGACAAGGGGACAAGGGTGGGATCCTCGGTCGAGGGCAGGAAGGGCCAGCCAGGTACATGTGTCCTGGGTGATGGACAGGCGCACGTGTCCGGCTGGATCCCGCCTCCGCTGAGAGCCTCCTGCGCCTTTCCCTCCCCCGAGAGGCGCCTGACATCCTCCTGCCTCGGAACCTAGCTCCGGGCCCAAGCTGCGCGTCGCCCGCGGCCCACCAGGGGGCGCGGGGACCGCGGGGACCGCAGGGACCGCAGGGACGCGGCCTGCCAGGAGGATGGTGTGCCCGCCGCGAGACCCCGCTGGGGCGGTGGAGGGGGCTCAAAGCAAAGTGATAACCATTGCAGGCAATAAAATCGCAGTCACCACGAATGGAGTGCCTACTGTGTGCAGTCCCTGCGCTGAGCGTTTTAAGTACGTAGACTACTGGCCGGGCGCGGTGGCTCACGCCTATAATCTCAGCACTTTGGGAGGCCGAGGTGAGAGGATCGCCTGAGCCCACGGGTTCGAGGTTAGCTGGGGCAACTTGGCCTGCCCTCATCTCTACAAGAAAAAAGAAAAAAAAAAAAATAGCCGGGCGTGGTGGCACGTGCTTGTAGTTCCAGATACTTGGAAGGCAGAGGCGGAAGGATCGCTGGAGCCCAACAGGTCGAGGCTGAGGTGGCCATGAGCGTGCCACTGCATTCCAGCCTGGGCGACAGAGTGAGACGCCAACTAAAAACAAAAACAAAAAACGTAGACTACTGAATCCTCCCCACGACTCTAGGTGGCAAGTGTTGCTCTGATTCCCGGTTTGCCGGCGAGGAAACAGGCTCCAGCTAGACCCAGCCGTGAGAGGAAGGGCAAAGCCCAGGTCTGCGCTCTTTGACCCCAGGGTTCCTCGGCAGCCCCTCCCCGCAGGCGGGCGGGATAATGTGCGGTAATTAGAGGGAGGCTATTAGCTGTACCCGGAGGGAGGGGCGGGTTCTGCTTTAGGGGCGGGTCCAGGCTGGAGGGGAGGGGCGCTGCTCCCATCCACCCGGGGAGTGAGGCTCCGGCGACCCAGCTCCGGAGCGGGGTGGGCAGGGTGACAGCAGCTCCCCGCCCACATCGCACGAACACAGTCACTCACCCCCGACACCCGGTTGCAGCCCACTCAGCTGCGCAGCAGCACGCACCCCGGGGCCTCGGAGGCTAATCCACACCCCCACAACCTCCTCCCGCGTCGTTTTCCAGACTTCAGCCCCTGGGAGCGGGTGGAGAGGTTGGGGGGAAGGGGACAAGGGCCGGCAGCGCCGGCTTCCGGACCGGGCTGTCTTCCGGCGGTCGTGGGAACAGCTGCCGCTGGCTACCCCACCTCGCACACCGGAGGAGCGGGTGCTGCCAATAGGGGGAGACAAGGCCACCCTGTCCTCAGGTAGCAGTGGGGGTGAGCTAGGAACCACAGCTATTACAAGCATGGGGGGCTGGACAGGCTGGGATCGCCAAATACTTGGGGTGGAGGTCTAGGGACCTTGATGTTTCGGAGAAATCTGGGAATTCAAATGTTTGGGGAAATGGATTTAAATCGTTCTATTCTAATGTTGGCGTGATGTAATAATGGGTGTCCCAGATTTAAGGAAAGGTTCCGGTGGACTCAGTTTGGGAGAAGAGCCACAACCCTCCATTTTGGGGCGGCAGTGAATCCTCCTTTGGGGGGGCCTCCATGTTGGCAGGGAAGAGAGCAGCAATCCCTGTTTTGAAACGCAGGGAGCCCCACTGTGGTGAGACCCAGGTACCTTCAATTCAGCAAAAGGGGACGCAAACCCTCCGTTTTGGGCAGGGACCCCATGATTGGGGGAAGAATGCAAGCTCCCGTTTTGGGTTAAGAGAGCCCCAACGTCCGAAGGATAATCTAAAGGCCTCCATTTGTAGGGACACAGAGCTCTGGTGTGCAGGTCTGGGCCAGCAGCCCCCAGCTGGTTTGGGGACCCCACCCCCTCCTGTCTGCTTCCAGGAACAGCTGGGCCCAGCCTGGGTTGTACTGCTGGGAAGCGGCTGACTCAACCCCTCCCTGCGGCCACAGCTGGACCCCGGCCCGCCCCCTCCGGCCTTGGCCTTCACATCTGGGCAGGGACCCAGTCCTCAGGGCTAGGATGAGGACCCTGGGTCCCACATCTGGAGGACAGCAACCCTCCACCCCACCCCCTAGCTGACCACAGCCACTGGGTAGACCCCATGCACCATTACCATGGGGAGCACTGCCAAGTCCCCTGCACCCCAGATGCTGATATCCTGCCAGGAACTCCTAGCCTGCCCCCCTCCCCATGTCTGCGTGCGTCTGAGTCCGTGCGAACTTGCTGGTATTTGTGTGGGTGTGCAATGGGCTGTGTGTGATTTGATGGTGTGGAGGTGGGGGGATTGCTTTCATGGACTGAGGGTATGGGGGGACTGTAACACATCCCTGTCTGTGTATAACATCCAGGGTTAGGGTGATCAGGGATACTCTCTGGGTACTCCACGCAGAGTCTGGGGGCGCTGTCTCGTTCTCCTGTCTTCATGCACTGTGGGTCTGTGTCTACCACACAACACACACTTCTTTACATGGGACCTGGCTTTGTGCCATTCTTTGTGTGAGATGTGACAATCAGTGCCGCAACATGACTTTAGGTTGTGTGTCTGTGACCATTTCCTACTTTGACTTCATAGTGTGTCATTTTGTGATAGTGTGTGACCCTGTCAGATGTGTCCTTGGTTTGTCCATGGCATTCTGTGGGTCCCGGTGTGTGGCCTTGGGGGCTCGTTTCTATGACTGTATCCTACTCCGTGCCATTTGTGAGAACCACGTGACAACATGGCCGTCACGTGTCTGTCTCTACCATGGGTCTCTGGGCCTCCACAATCTCCATGTGAGAGGTGTGGCTGTGTGACAAACCAAGCCCCGGCGTCCGAGACTTTTGCACCGGTTCGTGTCCTGCTTTGTCTCAATGGTGCTGCCGGTACCCACCACCTACCTGAGTATGGCTCGGTCTGAGTCCCGGCCACAAACGCGATGCGACTGATGTGCCTGCGTAACTATCTGCGTCTGGGTCCCTTTGGTGTCCACGTGACCCTGCCCGTGTTCGCCGCGAGGCTGGCTGGACTAGTGAGGGTTTGTGCCAACGTGGGGCAGGTGTATCCTGTGTCCGTGTGACACTGCGGGTCGGAGTTTGTTTGTGACCTTGTGGGCGGGGAGGGCGTCCAAGTCACACCAGACAGCAGGCTGAGCGGAGGCGGCGAGGTGCGCTGGGGGCGTCAGGCGCCCCGCGTCCGGCCGCTCTCCTCCGGGAGGGCCCCTCCCTGTGCTGCGGGGGCGCGTGCGTCGTGCGTGACGTGAGACACGACGGGGGTCGCTGCGTGCGTGGAGCCCGACGCGGTCGTGCGTGC